CGCGGGAACGGGACGCGAAAACCGCGAGTCCCGCGCCATCGTCCAGAAACCCATGGTTGAAACCAGAACGTTGGTTGGTATTTACGTTTGGGCTCATCTCATCGCAGGGTTTCTTAGGTGGGGCAAAATGGATTTTGCAACCATCCACAGCATGGCAAGCAATAGATCAATGGGTTGCAACTGTTGGCGCCATTAACCCATCGCTTGCAATCAATGGAGAACGACTTTCACATACAATGCTCTAGTGGCAGTGTTGCAGGTTCCAGCCAGAGCTTGGCAGATGTGTCTGGCTTGGAAGCGGCAGTTTGGGGTGTTTTGGATAGTGGTTCTGTGGCCGCTGCTGAATCGTTACACGCGTCGATCAGTGGATTTGGCCCTGGATTTCCTTTGCAAGCACCGTCCAATGCTTGCTTGTACAGGATTGCAAGATGGTCACCTTGGGATGGTCCGCGCTTGGCTTCTTTCTGGGATGGCAGGTCGCTTTGCGCATTTTGCTTCGATTCGAAGTCCAAAAGCTGCGGGCCTGAGATGAGTCTTTGATCCAGGCGCATCTTGCGCAGGTGCCCACCAAACCTGTTTTTTTCGGTGTGACTCCTTCAGGGGAGGGGTCCTTCCGGATTTTTTGGCCCGCCCTTTTTTTTGATGAGTGCTCCTGTTGGTAAATGGGAAGCTATCCCTGACCTCCTAACGATCATTCCAAGCCACCAAACAGAGGCGCTTGTGGCTATTAGGGGTATGTCTTAACACAGGGAACTCACAAAACCGTGGCTTGTTTCCTTTTAGAGGCACCCCCCCAAAGAAGGGCACCCTCAGAAAGACAGACCCATTTTGACTCACAATTTTTCACCCGGGCAGATGAAGGTTGGGTCGATTTCTACCGGTGCAGCCGCTTTTTTTTGGATTCCTTGCATGGTTCTGGGTCGACTTTTTACATGCCCTTCCTCCCACTAACATGGCTGGAGGGTCCCCTGTCAGGTGCCATGGCAAAGTGGGAGGGAGGGTACCTGGTTTTGATTCTGACCCATTTGGAGTGGACATGTTTCGTCTTTTCTCGAGGTCTGTGCCGAGTGCTCCAAGCTGTACCGGGCGAATTCCGTGCTGCGGACCAGGCGACGGCGGGTGTTTGAGGCTCGGTGCCCCTGTCATTTGAGGTCCGTCCATTGGCAATTCAACTAGGTGGCCATGGGTCAAAATCCCGTACCCCCAGTGAACATCCCCATGCCCACTAAAATAGACTAAAATGGGTGGTGCACCTACCCCAAAATGGTACCAATGGGTTTGGACAGCCAGGACAGCAGGTGGTTCTGCTACGTGGTTTAGCAAGGCGTGATACCATTGGCCATTTTAGTAGGCTCTACTACCTGGTTTAACAAAGGGGTGATATAGAGTCAGGCTATACAAAGCTTCCTAGCCATTTTGGAACCAAACCCAGGTTCTTTCCAGGCGGTTTGCTAGTTTTTGGAGGTATCCCTCTGCCGTCCCTGAGCAAAATGCCTTTCCTACATGCAACCTCTTAGGGGATTTCTCAACATCGGATATTTAGTAGGAAGCTAAGAACAAGTCCGGCGCCCACAAACCTGGCAACGGGTGTCGAGAAAACTGGGCCAGCGCAACTCGGACCCCCCCCAGAAAAGATCAGAGGGTCCCACTGAACCACTGCAAATAGATCTACTCAGAACAACCAAGCCAGACCACCAAAACAGATCTACTTGCAATCAACACCCCCTAGAACAACTGTAAGGATCCAGCTTGAACATTTCCTGATTCCAAAAAACAAACACCGGAGCCAAGTGTGACTTCAAGCAACACCATGAGGGCCCAGGGGCGCGAATTCAAAAGAAAAATCACACCGGCCCACAGGTATGAATGCAACAAACACAGGCACCTGGACCCCCAGGCGTGGTTTCAAAATATGTGATACAACAAAGAAGCACACCGGACCCGTATCTCAACCATACATGCCATAGCGCAGCTAAGTACGAATCGGTTCTGCCATTTTGGCTCCACCTAAACGGGGGGCAAATGGCCCCAGGCTCAAGGTCCAGCTCCAAAACAAGTGATGTTTCAACATGAGCCACGGGCAGTCCCAGCCAGAAAAATCGTGGCGGATCTCCGGCTTCTTGATTCTTGATTAGCATGGTTCTGGGATTACCATTTTGATACCGGCGTTTGAGCAAGTGACTCGACAGAGAAGTTGGCCATGGTCAAACCCTTGGGCCCCAGCTGAAAACTTGATCAAGCCTCAAAAGGAGGCTTTGATTATGACCTGGATCATTCCATGTCTCGTCCTCTCGCACCGCCAAGAATCACCCCGCAAACAACAAAAAACACATCCCTTGCTGGTGGTTTGCTTTTTTTGGGACCCTGGGTTCATTCCATTTGAGGTTAGTAAGGGAAAATCCCAACCATAGCTGCGGCCGGCTTCTTAATTCTTTACATGGTTCTGCGTAGACCATTTCGATACCGGGTTTGAGCAAGACTCATTTCTCAACTTCACCGATTTCGCGGCAGACACGAAGCTCAGGCAGCACCTGGCGCCTCTGGGGGTGGCCAAGCTGCCTAGGGGCCTCCGCACCAGCCGCCGGCCCTGCGCGGGGGACCTGCTGCCAGGCGCGGCTGCCTGCGGCTTGGGGTGGGCGTTGTCGGGGGGGGGGGGGAGGGTGTAGCTAAATCAACGAAGAAATAAACATATATATATATATGTGTGTATATATATACATATGTATATGTATAGGTTATATGTTGTATAGACACCTATACATACAGGTATATATATATATATATAGATGGTCGCCCTTCCCCCTATGGACCCAGGTTGTGTGAGTTTGAGTTGTCCGATGTTTCCCCCAGCTTCAAAGATGTGTTCGTGTCCAATATGGTTGTTTGTTATAGTCCTTTTTTGGCAGAGGCGCACTTTCATTCCCAGAACCAATGTTTCAGACATACCCAGGTTTGTTTTTGTTTTGCATGCCATCCTTCCAAAAAGGGGGTTCCTTGGGATCTCGTTGAGTTTGGATCCACCATCAGGTCCAAAACAAAATCATCCCGAAGGCAATTCCAAGCGGCTTGCCATTGGGAAGGGTGGTTTCCCTCGAGATCTGGATTGATATGATTTGGAGCGCAGCCGGCGATCCATTCGGCAAGAAACCATGAAATCCGGACCATGTCTTCCCAACACCTATACAGGATCTAACTTGACATCGCTTCTCAGTTCTGGTTCAAGCTCATTTCCCGGCTGAAATCCATCCATCCCGTGATTTCCAAGATCTCTGGTAACCATTGATTGGTTTGGATAGGGCCGTGTGAGTCTCTGACACCACTGCACCTGTGATACTGTGGATGGACGAAATCCATTTCGCACCACCTAAGAAACCATGGTGGAAGCCATTGTTTCGTTCTTCCAGAATTTCTTGGCTGTTGCAGGAGGAACTCCACGACTTTTATACCTCCAAAACGTGAGAGGCAGAGCTACAGCTGGGTCGAGTTTCCACAACTTCCCCACTTGGTCACTTGCCGTGGGTGTTTCTCAAAACTCGGAGCCCTCCGGGTGGTTTCCTTTTGGTTTCCGCTTGACACTATTCAAGAAGGGGACCTGTATTTTGAGAAACCCCCACAAACCGCGCTAGGGACCGACATGCCCGGATTGCGGCGTCCACTGTAAGAAAACTTGTGCCAATTGATAGTATAGTCCCATAATCCTGACGAAAGTAGCTTGGTTTTTGAGTACGCAGCCCCATTCTCTGAATCCCGGACCCCGTTTATTCGCTAGAGCTTCTCTGGGCGGATAGCGACTCCATAGCTTTCAGCTATTGTGTCAACAAATGCTCACTTCCTGAGTAGATGGGCTTTAAGCTTTCTGGGGTTGGACCATGGTGGGCAAACGAACAGTTTGGACTTTGCTGGGCCATATGGCTGTGGGTCCAAACCAATGGTACCATGTTGGGGCAGGTGCGCCACCCATTTTAGAACCTATTTTAGTGGGGATTGGTTGATGTTCACTGTGGATTTTGACCCACAGCCATATAGCTGGGGAGTGAGAATAGCAGCCTGGGGCCCTCACTTTCACCCTGGCCGACGGAAGTTTCGAGTGCTGTCTACGAGGCGGCTGCCGCGACGCGGGGGAGGCCCCTGCCCTTGGCGCGTGCTGTGCGCTGGGGAAGCCCTGGAGCTCAGTCGGGCACCACCTAAGATACCATGGTTGAAGCCATTCTTTGTTGGTACTTACAGGGAATCATTTGTTTAGGGTTTCTTAGGTGGTGCGAAATGGATTTCGTCCGTCCACAGCGTGTCCACGGATTTTCAGAGTTGGAACCACCTCAAGAGTGGTTGACATGAAGCTCAACATGGTTGCTTGTCGCTTAGGTTCATTCGGAGTGGGTGTATTTTGAGGGCTTCTCAAGCTGTTTTTCTTGGGATGTCACTTTGGCACTCAATGGCATGGTTTGCGGAGAAGTTGCACTGCTGGAATCCACAGAGGGCCACATGCATGGCCAGGGTTTGGGTGGAACATGTATTTAAGCCACAAGACATTTTTAGGCCAACTTTTTTAAACCACAAGCCAGTTTTCCCTAGAAGGAAATCTGTTGAAACCACCAGCCATTTCCTTTAGGCGAGCGAGGAAGATTTGTTTAAGCCACCAGCCATTGTTTCCCTTGCGAAGGAGAGCGTTACATAGGTCGTAGGCCTCTTTAAGCAGGCGGCACTCCCTCGGAAAACGGGCCTTCCGCCCCCAGAGTTGTCCTGGAAGCCTTTGGGTGGGGTCGCGGGGTGGGCACTTCTTGGCTTTTGAGGGGGTTGACATTTCGGTGAATAGTATCTCTCAGCCTTTTTGAGTGCCCTGAACGCACAATCGCAAGGGAGCCTGAGGGTAGTGTACATGAGCATAGGTGTCCTTTGTGGTTGTTTTGGTTGAAAAGTCGATGGGTTGCGATTCCTGGTTTACCTGGGGTTTGATTCCATGTACCAGGGAAGTCCATCTATTTCCCCTAGGACACCTGTGAGGCTGTTCGGAAAAAAGGCCCGATGTTCCTTGCGTCTTGCGCAGCCGTTGGGTCTAGTGCTTGACTCGGCGCAACCTGTTGACTCGCGCGACATGGATCCACCCTCCTTGGCGCAGCCACTTGGCTAAGATCCCGTGGATGTCCTATAGCGGTACCCTCGCAAACAGAGACACCCCCCAAGCAGGACCATCTTTTCGACGGGGAAAGGAACGCCCATCCTCAAAAAGGGGGGCTGAAAACTGAAGCTTTGTGCATTTCCGAGGGGTTCCCGATGGGAGTGCCTTTCTTTTTGAGTGGCTGCCTTTCAGGGAAGCGGATCAGGGGCCTTTCGGAAGCCGCTCTTGTTGCATGGATCTCGCATTTGAGCCACGTGCAAACCCGGGGATTGATACCATGGCTGCAGATCTCCGCCTTTCTTGATTTGCATGGTTCTGGGATTGCCATTTTAAGACCGGGATTTGAGCAAGTGACTCATTTGCCCTAACATTGGCTCTGACAAAAGGGCCAAGGCAGGGCCACTGCAGGACCGAAAACCAAGCAGCCCCGAGAGGGTCATTTTGGGCCCGGATGAATCACTGCTCGGTGTCCCTTTTGGTTCTACATAACTATCACCCAACCGGGCTGGAGATCGGAAAACCCTGGCAGAAGATGTGGAAACCAAAGAGAACCCGAACAAGGAAGCCCAAATGGGGAAGCCAAACACCACAGGGAAAACCACAGACCATGGAAAACCCACAGGCAAAGCACAAATCAAAGAAATCTGCTTGATTCCTGCGTCTGCGCCTGAGGACCTACATGCGAGGTCCGCTGGTTGTCCAGAGTCACGGAACGCCTCTGAGCAAGGAGGCGCGGCTGGACGATTTGGGTTCAAACTGGGAGCCTAGGTGGCTAGGTGGGCTTGTTTTTTGTTTGGCTTGGTTGAGAATAGATGGCCCTGGTTTCAGTTTGGTGTTATTCCATTTACCGGCGCCGTCTACTTTTCTGAAAGGACGCTTTTGTAAAATTCAATCTGATGGACCCCTCCAAGCCGCTGGAAGCAAACTTTTACGCGAACTCACATTCGGCTGAAGAGTGAGAGACCCATTTCGCATGAAATGCGAAGAATCTCAAGCTTTGGTCGATGCCCGAGAGCTGGACATTTGCCAGATGAGATTGGTGGCTTATCTCAGCCGTGACGCAGCATTTTGTCCACATATGTTCAATATCCACGGTTGACAAGTCAAGAAGGGGGGACGACCCAAATGCTCCTTTAAGCAGGGATTCTGACCCCAACTTTTCTACGTCCTTGTTTTTTTGAACGAAACAACCTCAATACATACATACATACCTAGCTACCTACCTACTTACCTACCTACATACATACAGACAGACAGACAGACAGACAGACAGACACACACACATACATACATACATACATACATACATACATACATACATACATACATACATACATACATACATACATACGTACGTACGTACGTACGTACATACATACAGACACACACACACATACATACATACATACATACATACATACATACATACATACATACATACATACATACATACATACATACATACATACATACATACATACATACATACATACATACATACATACATACATACATACATACATACATACATACATACATACATACATACATACATACATACATACATACATACATACATACATACATACATACATACATACATTACATACATACATACATACATACATACATACATACATACATACATACATACATACATACATACATACATACATACATACATACATACATACATACATACATACATACATACATACATACATACATACACACATAAACACTTCACGTGGAAAGCAATGAGGTTCGGTCAATATATCCACTCCATGTAGCTGAACATCACAATCTATTGTAAGCATTGTAACATTGGGCACTTGGCGAATTGAATAAATGTGGCGGAGACTCGCCGAGCTGCGAACCGGACATTTCCCCATCCTTTCCAGGGCTCCGGATTGTTCCGGAAGGCATTCAAAATGCAGGGGAATGGCTTCAAACATGGCCATAATTGAGCATTTTTGTGTTATGGTCATCTACCCCTTTAGCCGCTTACAGGGAACCCTGAGAGAGGTTGTGTATGCATGTGTTAAATAAACATGTGGGCTTCAGTTGAAAACGGTGGCGCTATTCATAGGGTAGGTATGGTCGTCAAGGCCGGCCCTAGAAAGCGGTATTTAAAGGTTTCTGTTGAGCTGATTTCCTTGTGGGATAGGAAAATTACATCGTCTTGGCTTTAGACAAGGGTAAGGATCCCGAAGGGAACCACAAGATCACTATGACAAGCATTACCCAGCATGAAGGTGACCATGACCATGACTGACATGGCCTGCAGCATTGATCCCATCGGTAAGCTTTTTAAGCCGCTCTGGGAATAGAATGGTTTCAATCATTTACCTGCCATTTAGGATTGCTTTTGTAGGGTGCCCTCTTTGGGTGGTGTGTGGAAACCAAAAGGAAGCCATGTCAGGTCCCGTTCTGAACCCCTTTGACACAAATTGATTTCCCCCACAGGACACCTGTGGGAAGAATCCTATGCCTCACTGCGCTGTTTGCGATACTTAATTCGTTCTCCCTAAAAAATATACCGTTCCCTCCCTTAAACCAAAAAACATCACCTCGGAGGGTTGTTATTATTAGGGTCCCCTGGTTTTTTGTCCGAGCTGCTTCAAATTGACTTGTTTAGGAACTGGAGCCCTTTGATTTTTGCAAACAAGTGCTCAAAAGGCAATTTCCGAGAAAGAAGATTGAACAGAAGACACCTAATAATAACAACCCAGATTTGTCTCAGAAAGACACCTTTGAAGGGAACCTGATGGAAACCCTAATTCAATGAAAAACAGACACCTTGTCACGCAAAGGGGTGACCCCTGATGCAATCACTCGGATTCCCACTGTAACAGATTGAGTTGAGTACATATCTCATTTGCTGCCTGGCTCTAATTGCCGGGCACCGTGCAGCAATGTGATTGCAAAGCAGAAACCAAAAAAGGTGGTTTGCTGTTGGTTTCCCGAACCAACCCCAGCAGGACACCAAGGTTTGACCCGTTTGCGCGACCAAAATCGGTCAGGAGCTGGCGGCCTGCAAACAGGAGTTGGAGGCAATCAAGAAGGCCATGGACAAAACGACACGAGTGAGAGAACTGCTGGGAAAAGGCGTGCCTCCTTTGGTTGCTTTGGGGTTTGGTGTGGTTTCCATTGTTTTGGGCTTGTTTGTTGTTAGTTTGTTTGGTTTTGTTTGTTTGTTTGTTTGTTCGGTTGGTTGGTTGGTTGGTTGTTTGGTGAGTTCTTTGCTTGTTTGTTTGGTTGTTTGCTTGCTCGCTTGTTTTGATTTGCTTGATTTGACTTGCCCTACTGCCTGACTGACTGGCCTGACTGACTGACTGGCTGGCTGGCTGGCTGGCTGGCTGACTTACTTGTCTTGTTGTTTGTTCGGTTGTAGTTGTTGTCGTTTATTGCCCGGCGGATCATCCTTCAAGTTTTCTTGGGTTCTTTGTTTCCTAGGGTGCCCTTCCGCCTGAATTGTTTTTCCTTGTTTTCGCAGGGTTCCCTGCCACCTTGTTTGCCATTGTTTGTTCCTCAGATGCTAGCAGTCAATATGTACCGCCAGAAGGGGATGACATGGGGCACACACATCAAACTAGCATCCGGAAATGGGGTTACTCACCAAAATCCAATGTAGGCGACGCAATACATATCGACTCGGGCTGTGTTTCCCTTCTGCCAGAACTTTTCTTTGCGGGGTGGGTTCGCCTCAAATCCAATCCTCTTTTGTTTTCCCTCTGGCCACATGTTCAGACTCGTTGCCGGCCCAAGAGGGCTACACGTCCAGGGGCTTCCTTGATGTTGCAAGGCGGTCAAGAAGCAACAACACACGTGTGGCTGTGAATTTTTACTTGCTGGGTCTCAGCGGGGAATGAGTTGGAATGACCCCTATAACCCATCCCTTCTGGTTTCCTTTAACGGGATTTTTCCCTGCTGAGCACCTGCAAGTTCATTGGGATGCTCAAAATGATTGTTGACACGAAGCCCGAACCGAATTTGATGTTGGCTACGAAGTTTGGTGAGGAGTACCCTCCCAACTGTTTGGTGGACATAAACGGTGGTCAATGTCGTCCAAAAGGAGGTGATGAATCATTGGCAGTTCTCAACCAACCATGTTTCTGTTTAAAGCCCAGCCCTTTTCCTCAGCAAAGGTACCAGAGCAGTGGGTTTGTGGTCACCACGGAAGGCCACGGGGGGGGCATATCCAACTTCAGCCTGATCCCTTAAGACAGGAGTACACCGTTTTGAGGGTACACCTTTTCAGGGTCCTTTTTGGGGGTGGTGTATTTACTTTGATGTTTGTTGATATTTGTTGGTTTTGATGTTTCTTAGTGGTTTCCCTTTTTTGCGGTTTCTTCGCCACTGGGAGAATCTTTCTACGGGACTTGCCTCCTGGCTGGGACCCAAGAAATCCTACGGGAAGTAGACCTGGAGCCCGAAAGGGGGGTCCAATTTACAGGAGCTTCCTCTACAAATGCAATTGGTCCCCCAGCAATTGGTGCCCGACCTCTAACCGTTTCTTTTTTTGGTTGGGAGGGTTCAGGTTCCCCGACTAAAATAGACTACAGAAAAAAAGTAGGTAGCCTTGTTCGAACCTCTCTACTGGAGGACCAAAATGTGCTTTCTTGGATTCCACGTGAATCTGTGCGGGAGCATCTCGTGCTTTAATCAGGGAATGTCCCAGAAGTGCAACGTTTTTGGATCAACCAAGAACTAAGTTGCGATCCAATGGTTCCTGCCCGAAACCGGACGGGAATTCTCAGGAAACGGAGCTGTGGCTGGAACCAAGTAGCGCCCACATTGGACCCGTCCCCTCTTTGACTGCCTACAACATGTCAAGGGGCTTCTCAAGATCGCTTTTCCTGCGACATGTCCCTTTCAACCACCAGACTTGGAGAGCAATCCTGAGCAGGATGGGACATGTCCCTTGAAACCGCCAGGCAACTCTGTAACTTTGAGGCTTTCCGTTAGACACATATCATTTTTTTCCCAGGATTTCCATGATTCACTCAGAACGCAAGGCACCTTTGAGGTTGAAAACACGGCAATTCTGAGGATTTTCCGATATTTTTGAGGATGTCCATTCAAACCACCGAAAAGCAATGTACTGTTGATGTGCCCATTCAATCCACCAGAACAAAATGTAAACCACTAGAAGGCATGCCAACTTTGAGGTTTTTCCTTCAATCCACCTGAAAAGCATGGACTTCTTAAACCACCAGACACCATAGACATTTTGAGTTTCCCTTTGAACCGCCAGAAAACATTGAGCATTTGTTGAGGATATCCCTTGAAGCCACCAGAAACATGTTGAGGATTTCGCATTCGCATTCAAGCATAAGGCTTTTGAGGATGTCTCTTTGCGCCGCTAGAAAGCAGGGCCATTTCGGAGGATTTGCCCTTTAAGCCACCAGAAAGCAGAAAGAGCTTTGAGGATACACCTCCAAACCACGAGCAAGCAAGGACACTTCAAGGGATTTCCGCTTTAATCCGCTCGAACTCAAGGCAACTTTTCGGAGGATTTCCGCTTCAGCCACTCGAAGGCCTTCGGCAATGGGGACTTCCCTTGAAAATCACCCGACAACTGATGTGGCGAACTCCGTCGCTTGAGTAAATAAAACCGCCGTTTCGTTTCGGGTTCGCCCAAACCGGGCGAGGAGTTCGGTCTGGTTGAGCCAGACCGAGCTTTTATGGACGAAAAGGATGTGGAGTGGAGGCGAGAAAGAAGCTGTCTGGGTGTTGATAGAAGTCTAGGGGTTCCATTTCCATTTCCGGAAATTCTTTCCAGGGATCCGAATCTTTCTAGAAAACCTCCGGAAACCTAGGGAAAACGGAAAAACGGTTTTTGGAAAGAACGATGTTTGAAAAGAATGGACAAGGAATCAATCCCTAGAATAAGGGTGTCTTTTTTAGAGGGTTGCCCTTTGGAGGGTGGAATTTTTTTTCTGGGGAACACAAGGCAAACCGCCAATTTTGAGGGTCCCCCATTTGAGACACACTGACAAGGGGCTAAGAAAGTACCAATAGCTTACTCGTAGTTTGGTTTACGAGTACCCACCCATTCTATTTGTTCAGGCTTTGTATAATGCTCTTGTTTTCCGAACAGCATGCTGGCAACCACTCGGGCTGAAGTCCAACCGCCCATCATTTGTATATTTATATACACATGCAAACATACACATGTTCTCTGACTATTTCTTTGGCATAGCTTGCTGTTGGCATGTTTCTCGATGTTAGCCTTTTGGTTCTGTTCCTTTCCTGCGGTCTGCAAAAGGCAGAGTTTGCTATGCCAAGGATTGGAGAGCTTGCAGATTACCTGGACCAGGGGTACCGGGGAAGCATCCGCCGTTGAGGGTGAATTGACTAGGGATCGCAAGCCACAAGACTTCGGCCAAGGATACCCGCAGTCAAGGTCGATAAGACTGGTGAATGCGTTGCACGAATTGGTTATGCGGTAAACTCGTAGATCAGGTCTTATGAGTTAGGCAAATGAAGCATGTAGGAAGGGCGGTGGTTCCGCTTCCTATACCCACTGCACGTGTTGTCTTGGGAAGTGACGTCAACCCCTGACTGGCCAAGGATGTATTTACCATGGAAAGCCGAGGTTCTCCAAAGAATTGCAAGTGAACAATCGGGCACTTGCAGTTGGGCGTACACTCCTGCATTTTTACCCAGGCCTCCAGTAACATCTTTAAAGAACCAGGACTGGGTTGCATAATATCTACTGTTGCGCAGAATCCACTTTGCATCGGAATGGATCAAACCCTAATAGCTAACCCACCTACCAACTGGTGCATAATTTGGTGCATAGTACTCCCACCCCCGGAATCTTATCCTGTTTGAGTAGGGAGATGTCTCGGAAACTGATCCTGATAAGCTGGAAGGGGCACCCTAACATCAACTTGTCAATCTCATGGCACCCCCCCCCCAACAAAACACGACCAGCTCTTTGGGGGTTCCATGTGACGACGCTTCTCTCCGGGTTGCTGTGAGATTCCCGCCTGTTTGCCCTCCACTTTTGGCAAACGCAGGCCGAGGGGGTTTTCCCTAAAGAAAGGACACCATGGGTCGCAATCTTTGAGGCCTTCCTGGAAGTTTCCCGATTGAACACCTTACGGTGAAGATTCCCACGGGGTAAAATCCGCTCAAAAGCCAGGCGTGCGTTTTTCTTCTTTTTTTCTCGGAGGTTTCTCATAGAAATCGTCGTTCCTAAACCTGTTGGTGTCCTTTTGTTCGAATCCCAGAACGGGGCGAGCGAAACAGGTTGAGAACCAATGTGAATGCCTGGCAAGCTTGGATGCACAAGTCTTGCTGAATTTTCTTGGAATGCCATCAAAGGAGGTTTCCCACTATGGCCTTCCCCCCCCCCAATAACCTCAAAACCACATGGCTTGTTTCCTGTTGGCTTCCCTTCAGAACCCTCCCAAGGGTCCGCCAGCTTGAGACAAACGGACCGATCCACCGATCCACCGATCCATCGATCCGGGCAGGGGATTCCGCGATTTTTTTTTGCAGGTTCGGGGGTCCTCCGGACTACACCATTGCCAACCTCTTCTTCCTGAAGGCTCTGAGCGAGAGGGGCAGTCTAGGGGTCTAGGGGTCTGGGGGTCTAGGGGTCTCACTCAAGGGGCGGCACCGGAAGTGATCTTGTTCAAATCTTGGAGCCTGAGGATGGAAGTGGTTTGAGGATGTTGAAACCAGGTGTGACTTCCAGGTGATTCCGGATCTGTGCTGGCACGGTTCTTGTGTTGTTTTTTCAAGGGGAGGGGAAGAGAAACCATCCCTTGCGGCGTCACCCCAGGGATCGGGTTCCTTCCCAACCCCCGCTTTGAAGCCTGCAACCCTGAGGTCAAGTGATCAGCTCATTTGGCTGGAGTGACTGGTTGATTAGAGCCACTTGGGGGCAGACAAGCCCAAACCAACCCAAATCGACCCACGAATTTAAGGAAAAGCTGACCACGGAAGTGGTTGATATTCCCAATCAAGAAGTCCCCTCGGTGGATTGCCCCCGTTTTTCGGTGAACGGCCGGGTTTTAGCCACAGGCTCCTTTAGCCACAACCGATTCGGGTTAAAAGTTACTCAACTGGAGAGTCCCAACCGGAAAAAGGAGTATCCAATACTCCCCAGCAAATTCACATGGAGCCCAGATCATGGTTTGCTCCACGAAGAAGCTGAGAGTCCCCCGAAAAAGGGTTTCCTCTATAACTTGGTGCTCAGTGAAGGGACTGAAGACCCCTAGGCCCCTCAAAGGGATGGGCTCGTTCCATGCAACTCATTCTCTGCATCTTTCAATCCCCGGGGCCTGTCCGTGAGGGCAAGACCAAGAACCACGGGGCGGGCTCTTTGGAGATGATCGTGGAGAACCTGGTGCCCCGGCGCGAAAGCAGCACGACCCTGAACTCCAAAAGCGGGCAGCCGTTTTTCTTTTCTTTTGGCGCCAAAGAAGGGGGGAGCAACCTAAGCTCCTCCACAAACATCAGGTTTTTACGCATTTCTCGTGTTGTTTTGGGGGGCAACCATTCATTTTCTGTGGGCCTCAAAGGATGGTTTGCGCTCGGACGCAGCGGAGCTGTATCTCTTGCGTCCGGCTTTGTATCACAGGACTGCTTTTTGGCTTGCCTGGTTTGCTTTGTCTCCTTTTAGCCTTCTTTTGGTTTCAATAGCTTTCCCCAGAACCTGGGCGATTTCTCGGGTTGTGGACCATTTGAGAGGAAAGCAACACCTTTTTTTGCCAATCCACAGAAGTGAGTTGGGGAGGAGGGGAGCCGCAGATTGTTTGAGGGTGTTTCTGTGTGAGCTGGGCCATCCAAACCCAAGTAGGTCAAGGTTAGAAGGGCAGGGACCCCTGAGAACGGGGAGGGTACAGATAGAAGAGCACCCTGAAGCAACCCCAAAGGCACCGAAAACGCTCCCAACCCCCAGCCCACTCCAAGCGCCACCCCCCTTCTTTCCTTTTGATGTCAAAGGAAACGCGGCTGACACTGAACCGAAGCATCCGAAGCCAAGAAGCCGAAGGTGAAGACGTGGGAGATGGAACGGTCACACAAGCTGGACCCCAACAAGCACATGAGCGTCGATCCGCAGAGGCGGGGGCCCAGCTCTTGACCGCGGTCATCCGGTTCCTTAGCTTGGTTGGTTGTTGGTTGATTTGGTGGTCATTGTTTTCCAAGAAGCCACTAAGGGTGTTCGACTTCTGGCAGGGGATCTGAGCACAGTTAAGTTTGTTTTGTTGTTTTTTTTTTTGGGGGGGGGCTGTTCATGTGGCTGTTCAAGTTGTTGTTCGTACAACATGTTGATTTGGTAACACGCTGTGGACAATATCCCACACCGGTTGTAGTGTGTCCCAGGATCAACTCTGTGCTGGACTCCCATCCGCAGCATGCGGGCTGCAAAGAACAAAGTTTAGTTGCTAAGAGACCAAGGGTTGGACAGTGTACAGCAGGTTTTCTGTTGTTCAGAAGGCTAATGCATCCACTGGGTGTAAAGGACTTGAAACATGAAAGTCGTTTTTTCCACCCCTCACGGCATTGCTTCGGTGGTTGCCCAAGTATTTTAAGGGGCACAGGGGAACTCTAATTTGCTGTGATTTACCAGAGTTTGGTGGTTGGTCGGTTCACTTGGAATACCGCGCATGGACGAAATCCCGCACCAGCTCAGATGGAGGAACCTCCAAGAAGACTTGGATAAACCACCTACCAACCGGGGGAGGATCTCCTCCATCCACAGCATTTAGGGAATCCAGCGTTTATTTACCCTGTTTAATTGTTTCGTTTGAAAGTGAGTGAAGGGTCAGGGCTCAGTAGGATGTTGCCCTTGCCTTTCCGAGCAAATCTGTTTCGGTTTCTCGGGGTTGATACGGGTTTACGGGTTGGGACGTCTCACTTCCCAAGTCTCTGGACTTTAATGTTAACCCCGGATTAATAAACCCCTGGGGGGGGGGTGTCCCCTTTTAGTGGGGATTCATCACTTTTGGAGGGAACACCCCCCTAATAGTGGGACGGGTTTATTAATCCTGGGTCAACATTATACTTTCTGCGGTTGGACCATTTTGGTGGCAAACGAATCATACAGTGGTTTTCGCCAATGTGCTCTGGAGGCGAGAAGTTCGGGGTGTCTTTTCGAACAACAGGTGTGAACAATACCTAGGTCCCCCAGTACCGCCCTTTTACCGTTTCTTTTTTGGAGGAGGGTTCCCCTACTAAAATGGACTGCAGAAAAAGGGGTACCCTTATTCCAACCTCGCATCGCGTCTAAATTAGGGATCAGCAGCTGGCAGGTTCAGGTGCGCATGACGTGCATTGGCTTCACTCTGGACTTTAAAAGTGGCAAGACCGTTTTAGCCATAGGTGTCCTTTTTGGTTGGTTTGCAAAACGAAACAGACGGCCCTGGTAGATGAAAAAGCCCCGGCAAACCAGGGCCATCGATTTGCAACCAAACCACAAGGAGGAGCTCGGCCTGCGGGCGTACGCATCTCCGGCGTTCGTTCTGTCAGACTCTTTTTGTTAAGAGCCTGGTGTTTGCCATAGCAGCTGTCAGCTTTTTTGCGTCAGTTCACAACTCATGGCCCAGAAAACCAAGGTGGAAAGTTCGGTGTAGTGGTACGGCGAGTTTCTTTTTTTTTTTTCTCCGCAGGTTCCACATCAGTGCCAATGGCGGGGCGAAGTTTGACAACGACGGGGCCAACAAGGTGGGCCAGCAAGGGCCAGCGGATGAATACAAGCAGCCCCGGATTTTCTGGAAGGGAAACCACCTCGTTTTCGGAGCGTTGGGTTGGATCATTTTTAGTGGGTTGCGAACCATATACACTTTTTCTCACATGTCAAGGGTTGGAAAGAAACAGTAAGTGTTTATGTAGAAGTATATGTGAAGACAAGAAGATGGCTTAACCCTTGTAGCGGCAGTTTGCAGATTTGGCAACGAAGATCTGTACACCATGCTGCGCAAGCAGTTGGCATACGCGTCCTTTTTTGGGTTAGTTCGATTACACATAGACGGGTTCCACTGGTTTAGATTGGCATTATTTCGTTTACCAGAATGGTTTCTCAACCATTCATAGGTTTCTCCAGTACTTGAACCCACCGGTATACCCGGCAGGGCTAGGGTGGCATTTGAAGGCCTTCGGATCCTTAGCCCTTGATCCTTTCAACCGTTCTCCAATGAAAGCATTGAATCCAGCGAGCCAAAAGGCGCCCTAAAAACCCACGGGGGTTGGAAGGCCAATCTCCCGCAAAATGGGTTTCTCGGACGCTTGGGAAGCGGAATTTGTTGCTGCCCTCGCAAGCCGGTGCGCCTTTCAAGCCGGCAGGCATACCCATCCATGCGGTTTCTTTGTGAATCAAGCAAAAGGCTTTGGACATGGTCAAAGCCACCCCACCCAACGGAATGATTCGACCCCCCAATGTAAATGCCCATAAACGTTATGGTTTCAACCATGCTTCTCGCACCACCTCAGAAATGCTTGACACCATTCTTTGTTGCTAGTTACGTTGGGGGATATTTCGCAACCACGCACAGTGGCTAAGCTGCTTTTGCACGCAGGGTTTTGGCTCCTGTGTCCGATATCGGGTGAAAACCCGGGTGGATGAAGCTTAGCAGGCCAATCCCAACCAGAAATCGGCGCCGAAAGCGCCGTTCTAGTGTTCTGGGTGGACCATGTTCATACGCATTGGTTTTGAATATGACTCAGATGGATGGCAACTCATAGCCTCAAGCGCTGTTGAAAGTTCTCCCTTCCACAGTTCGACGCATGGGACATCCGTACCGCGTACCCCGTGAATACGGCCGTGTTTTTTTTTGTTTTTCCCCAGAAGCGCCAGTTTGCCCCTCAAGGCGATTTAAGTGATGAAGGTCCCTTAAAGGCCCTGAATAGTGTGTGAATTCCGGAAAATTGCCAAAGTTTCAATTGTTCTACTCCCTGCAGCGGGACGAAAGAAGTGAGAGGTCCGTGATACAATGGTGGGCACCCAGACCCTGCCCCCCTTGTGTTTGGAGGGGCTCCGTGTTGAAAACAAAGCTACCATTCTGCCGTTTGCGCATCGGCTAGCGGAACTTAAGGCAAGGTCTTGGTCTTGCTGAGGATTTGGTCATGAAGCGTGGTACTAGTCAACAGTGCAGCCGCCGGGTCGGGCGCTAAAGTGGGCGAACACTGGAAAAACCAACCGCTTCACGATATGAAAAGGTTTCCACTTGATACGGAAGCCACAAGGATCACTCCGGCTCAGGGCCAAAGCAAAAGAATCTTGCCGGTCTGATTCTCCTTTCTCGCACGCCACCCATCAGCAAAGGATTGCCGCCTGCAAATTGCGTGTTTCAGCTTCATGGTGGGGGTGTTATCCAGATAAGAAGTTAGCCCTTCGTGATTGTCAAGGAGCTCAAAAAAAATATATTAGAACAGGAAGAAGCGCCCGCAAGACATGGAGTTTGAACCCGGCGTCGTGGGCATCCAAAATGCCCAGAAGCGTCATCAAATTCACGTTCTCCGGGAAGATCTGGGAAGCAAGTGCTTTCCTGGTTTTGGAGTTGCATAGAGTCCTGAAAAAGAAAGAAGCATACCGACGACAGCTGCGCCATCGAAAAGTATCATCTTCAAACTCGTCCAGGGTTGCATACATCTGCTTGATATGCAAACCCAGCGCGGGTCCTGTTCCTGGTTTCTCTCCACGATCAGATGTGTAACGTGGTTTTCAAGGCAGCATGTTCAGGAAGTCTCCCAGCATGCATCAAACCCAACCCCCGCCACGAAGGAACTAACTTGTACATTTAAAGGGCATCATTCGACTGCTCACGTTGGAAGGGCTGCACCCGCAAGCTGCTTAATCCTCGCATCCCTTTCTTACAGCGGGCCCTTCTTAGAGCGAAAGGCGCTAAATGTGACCAGAAATGAACATCAGGATAGTTGAGAAACCAGGGTGTCGACCTTTGTATTTGGGAGAACAGACCCCACTGGTCTAGACTATCATGTGATTTTGCGAAAATCGTCGTTGATAGACCTGTGGTTGCCTTTGCCAAGCTGTAACCATGGAGAAATTTATTTGTGACCCCTGTGTTTGGGAAGTTTTTCTGAGAACCCCAGGGTTTTGGTATTAAACTGGAAGGGGATTCCTTTCAAGAAATCAAATCGGAAAAGGATGGGTTTTCTTGCTGTGATTCCAAGACCCAGGGTTTTCGGACGAATGAACCGGTTTTGGAGATTCCTGAAAGGAAGCCAGAGGGATTCGCTTGAGAACCACAAGAAATGAGTACCCAACCACAAGAAGAAGCAGTTTTTTTTGAAAAACCAATGCGGTGAACGCAAAACTAGGTCTCCCAGTAGTGCCCTTTTGCCCTTCTTTGGTTGGGAGGGTTCCCCTAAGAAAATAGACTACAGAAAAAAATCGGGTACCCTTATTCTAACCTCTGTACTGGTGGACCTAGCCACTTGTCCAGACTATCATGTGATTCGCGCAAATCGTGGTTGATGGATCCATTGTTGCCCTTGCCAAGCTATAACCATGCGGAAATCCTTTCGTGACCCCAGTTTTTGAAAAACCACGCAAAAGAAAACAACAACGCTACTGGAGGACCTAGAAAAAGTTTGTTTTTTGGCCCCTCAACTCAGGAAGTGAGAAAGCACACACCCCCAACGCGGTGAACCGCCGCAAATACACCAACCATCTGACAGATTGGGAACTACAACGTGCTCCTCCAATCGGTGGCCCCGGAGCTCTACGACGTGGATCGCATCAACTGGGCCCCTCGAATCGCGAGAGACGAGGCCAAAAAGGCTGCGGAGGTGAAAGTCGGGCTGTTCCCATCGGAAACGAACACATGCAGAATACAAAAAAACACATATACATACATACATACATACATACATACATACATACGTACATATATATATATATATATATGTATATATGTATACGCCTATAAATTGAAATCTTGAGGCCATATATTTTGCAAAGGCCCGGCGAGCTGTTGTTATTGGCGGAAGCGTCAAGTTTTGCCGGCTTTTGGGCGCTGAATTATGTTTGGACGGGTTTTGACGGGTTGTTTAACGGGTTTTAATGGGTTTTCATGGGTTTCAACGGGTTTTGGATGTGTCTTTTTTTGTTGCATTGGGTGCGGTTTGTATTTGTGTTGACGGTAGTGTTTGCATTCCTTCACTCTTGTGGTTTTAGTCTTTGGGGGCTGCGTTCAGTTTTAGGGGGGCTGCAAGTCGCAAAACTTTTGGCTAACGAAACCACTGCAACCACCAAACGGCGCTTTTGCTTGACAGAACTCCACACATGCAGACATGAAGGATGCAGGTATAATTTAGTTGCGGTTTTGTAGCAAAATAGGAGACTCCACCAAAGAAGCATCTCTTGAACCCAAGAACACCATACCAAGGATCACCCTTTTTCTAGGGGGGCTGAAACTCATGACTTCCAGAGATCGACCAAGGGACAACGCTTTCACTCCGGAAGAAGGAGTTGGGACCATGTCCCATCGACCCACCATTTGTTTGTTTCGGAAGGGTTGAACATGTTGAATTTCGGAGGAGTGTCCCTGTGATTTTTGTCGGCTGGGGTAGTGGTTTGGTTGTAGTGGAAGAAGCCCTGGATAGCATGGTCAAATTTGAGATTGACGTGGGCGCCTCTCTAGATTTCCCACAAGAATCACAGCAGGACTCGGCACGTATCGGGTTGCCGAAATGTGGTTTGCTCCCAACGAATCACAGTGCGCCAAAACCCATGTTCAGGCCACTTTTTTCCAAAACGGTTTGGGGCTTGCAAGAAGCCAGAGACTCATTCTCCATGGTTCACAACCCATTTGCCAGGATCTTCGGCGATTTGTTGGCTAGGGTAATCCACATGTGCTGCGCGCCATGAGAGCGTTTCAACTTGGCTGCTGAAAGGGGGAACCCCCTCCGAATGGTTTGGGTGTTCGTTTGCTTCCCAAAAAGGTACCCTCAAGAAAAGACCCCCCCCCCCCCCCCCCCCCCCAGTCTTTAGACGCCTGTGGGTGCCAGACCTCTTCTTCGCATTGTTCAGGAGAGAAATGCCTTTGGATTAGGCACCAAACCCGAACTCAATGGATGTCCACCAGTCGTCCTTTTGTGGAGGAACCGCCCTCTTTCGTTTTGGAGCTACACTCAATCTGGGCCATATGGGCGTGTCAATTTTTTCGAGGCTCGGCACCCCCTTGTTGGGTCGCGGCAATTGACAAGGAAGGTTCAAATGGTAAACAGGGAGTGTACACCTTTTCGGGTCACTGTTTTCAGGGAAAAACATTCAAATGGTAAACAGGGAGTGTACACCTTTTCGGGCTGTTTTCAGGCAAACACCCTTCTCCAATTGTCTCGCTGGTGCGATAGGTAGGGAATGTGGGAATGAACTGTGCAAGGGATTCCCAAATCAAGGAAACCACCAAGCAAGGGATGGGTTTTCTTGGTCATTCCATTTCGATCGCAAGAAACAGAAGCCCACCACGGGAGTTTTTTCTAGTTTGTGGTTTGGAGCCCGGTCTGGCGGTTTTGAACGGATGGGGGGGGGTGGTTTTCTCATCCAGTTGCTGGTGCTCAGCAGGGAATGCGGGAGTGACTCTATAAACCATCCAACTGGTGGTTTCCTTTAAGGGGACCCGTGGGATCATTCCCTCATTCCCTACCTATCGCATCATCTATTCTACCAAAAGGACACCCATGCTGATGGTTTCCCTTCAAGCCAACCTTTAGCAAGCTTCCCTTTAGTTGGTGGAGCCCAGTTTGGTACCCTCCCACCAGCTAACGTGGAAGTGCACAGCCCCCTGTAGAAAGACATGTCCTTCCTCTTGGCTAGTTGGCCTTTTTGCACAAACCCATGTTAGTTGGTGGGAGGGTAGTTTGGTGGTTAAGTTGGCGGTTTGAACGGAGGGGTGCTGTACCTCCTTTTTTTCTCAAGAAGAGCGGCGTTGGGTTTACTGGGAAATGAAATCCGACCACTTGAGGGGCCCCATATGACAATTCCTTTGGGGACGGGGTTCCCAACCCGTCGCGGGCTCTGAGGAGCAGAGCCACGAGAAGTTCCACAGCGCCTTCGCCGCCTTCCCCTGGGAGCTGCTGGAGGCGAACGAGCCACGTCTTTTTTTTGTTTCTTCTTCTTCTTTTTCTTCGGTTTTTTGGTTGTTTGATCTTTTTCGGGCCGGGGTGGGGGGGGGGGAGGCGGGAATTGGGTGGGTGGGGGTGGAAATTGGGTGGGGAATTGGGGTACAAGGAGGTGACTATGTGGGTCCTTAGCTAGGGAATTCGGACACTTTCAGGAGATGGAGCCTTTTGGGCAACTTTTGGGACATGGAACTGATGTTTTGGAAAAGCTCGTGTGGATGGAGGAAATCCACCCACGGTTGAAACAGTTGTTGGTTGGTATTTACAGGGGAATCATAATTCCAGGGTTTCTCAACGGTGGTGCAAAATTTTCGTCCATCCACAGCCTTGGAATGACTGGAGGAGGGGTTTGACCAAATGATGCGGTGAACATATGTTTCATGAAAACGAAGTCCACCTCAAGGGGGGGGGACACTTTGGGGGGACACGAGTTGATGTTTCAACCACATGGATTGCTCCCTACGAGGGTACCGGTGAAAGCAACGTTTGCTGACAAAGCTGACAAGGAACCCCTGACCTGAGCTGAACTGCTGGGATTTTGCAGTCTGCAGCTAAACGTCATTGCTAAGCAATCAATGATCTTGAATCATCTATGTCTCTTCTTGAACGTCTTGTCTCTCCGGGTGGTTACTTCCATTTAGAACCATCCAAAACATGGGTTCCTCTATGTTGACACATAGGCGTGGATTTCGATCCGCCAAAGCTTTGGCGCCCAGAAATGAACTCGCCATTTTCTATACTGTCTCACTTCCTGAGTTCATGAACTGTAAACTTTTTGGGTTTGGACCATTTTAGTGGGAAGCACAAAGTTCGAACTTTTTCTGGTCCATCCACGCCAGCGAGCACACTGCAGCCCAGTGATCCGCTTTTGCCGAGGCAGGGAACTGGAATCGGGTACGGGGCTCCACTTGACTGCACCAAGAACTGAAAACGAACTTAAGCCCGACGTTTCTCCTTCTAGGGGTGGTCAAACAGTGGAACCCTGGCCGGGTGGAGTTTAAAAATCATTAGAAAAGGAGATGTAGAAAAGATAATGGGAGTTATTGGAACTACCGTTGTTTACCTAAAGATTGTCATTATCCAACTTGGGTCAGCCTTTCTTTTGATGGGTTGAACCCTAGAGGGTTTGGGGGGTTGGTCGAGACAGCATCACCATTGCCGCAAGTCAGGTCTTTTCGCCGCCCCCGCGCGTGTCTTTCTCATGGCGGCACTGGGGGCACATGACGGGCAGCTACGAAGGCGGAGGGCTTGGGGCTTCCAAAGATCCGCCATTAGAATGAGGTGGTTCGGTTCCTACCTAGTTTTGCAATGGTCATAGTGTGAACCCCATATATATATATATATGTATATATGTATATATATATATGTTTAAACCCCATACTGGTTTTGACCCATTTTTTTTTAGAAAGCAAAAACTGTTGACCCCATATTTTTTTTACCCCCCCCCCCAATTTATGTTCACGGGGGTGGGGCCCCTCCAAAAGTGGTCTGATTCCCCACTAAACCCGGACGCCGCCCTCATTAAAAAACTGAGGTTGATCAATATGGGCCGACATAAGCTAGGTCCCCCAGTAGTGCCCTTCTCTCCCCATTTTTGGTTGGGAGGGTTCCCCTAAACTAGACTACAGAAAAAGGGTACCCTTATTCTAACTTTTTTTGTGGAGGACCTAGTAAGGGCTTAGCGTGTATAACCATTGCAGTATATGGAGCAGAAAATTGAACGTGTGTTGTGCGCTGCTCGTGTGATTTGCCTATGGTTCATGGTGCGGAGGGGAATTCATTAAATGTGGCACAACGACTAGGGCACTTGTCCATGTTCTCTTGGGGAAACAAGACATTTTGACTGGCTCTCAACAGAGCAGAAGCCGGGACATTGGTTCGGGTGATGCTTGCCCTCAAGGTCAGACACCTTGCGATCAGAGAGGTCATCGAAGGCAGGGACGTGAAGCGCTTGGACCCAGCCCTTCTGGGAGAATTTCAAGTCAGCCAGGTGAGCTATAGCAGACCTTGGCAACAATGGCTACCTGAGCCCCGAAACAGCTACGATAATGAAGCATGCGCTGGTGAAGCGAATGCCGGTGAGGGTGATTCAGCTTGAGAATGCACAACCCTTCGTCACCCAGAAGGAAGTCTCAGACATGATGGCCGAGATCGCCCAGCGCCTTCATTTGGACGACTTCGATGCGTCATTGGACCTGTGAGAGCCTAGAGTTCTGCTAGTAGGTCGCGTCACTTTACGTGCCTCTTGGTCTTTGACTGGCTCATGTTCTTTCTTTCTCAGCTTGTGCAGGTCCTGTTTCTCATCCAGAGACAGATGTTGTTTGGCTTGCACGTGCGCGTTGTTTTTTGGAGGGGCTTCCCGTTGCAGGGGTATACCATTCTGGGGCGTGCCCTAGGTAGAGGCCCGAGACTTTCATTCAAGGATGGCGAGGGCCAGATCTTTAGTTTTTTTTTTGCTAGGCCCCCCAGCTAGGTGCCCTTGAATCCCCTTTTTTTGGTTGGGATCCCCTACTAAAATAGACTACAGAAAAAGTTGGTACCCTTATTCGAACCTCTCTACTGGAGGACCTAGTTTAGAATGGGGTTGATTCCTTGTCCAGTCTTTTGAAACAGCATGCTAGGGGTTGATTCCTTGCCAATCTGTTCAAAGGTTCTTGTCACCAAGACCCTTTTCCCTTGGTTTGGGGCAAATGTGCGACTTCCTTTTCGTTAGGCAAACAATAGCTGGCGCCAGATCAAACATCACCTTGACTAGCTGCTTTGGATCTGAATCCGTGAAAATCAAGCGGTTCTTGAATCTATCTATCGGAGGAACCATTTCGTCAATTTATACATGAGGTGGTGTTCAATTGTATCCTGTAAGCAACCCGCTTTAGGCCAATTTGGTGAAACATAGATGGCACTGATTTCAGTCGAGTTCTATGCCGGGTGGGCATCTTTTGAGAGTCTGATCAGAATTGGCCCCATTTTTTTGGGGGAAAAGGTCGCCAAAAGGCTTTCCCCAGAAATTCGCCTTGGGGTTGATTCCTTGTCCATTCTTTTTACCCATCGTTCTTTTCAAAAACCGGCGGTTTTCCCTGGGCTTTTGACGGTTTCCTTAAAAGAAGGGTTCCCGGAACGAATGGGGAAGGCAGCCCTAGAATATTGGCTAAGGGCTGCTAGGACTTGTGGGGATTTCTTTCTGGCAAGAAAAAAACACGATCCTTGTTACCCACCCTCGGGGAGGTCGGATCCTGTTTTCTCCAGTTCTTTCAACATGTTTATCTATGTTCACTAGGCTGCGCTTTTGTTTGTGCGCACGCAACAAGTTGTTGTTTTTCAATGTTTTGTGTTTTCTTCAGGGAAGGTTTTTCAGGTTGGTAAGGGAAACCGAAGGGCGACCAAAAGCTTTCAGAAGCCAATGTCCCCAGCCCTTGCGTTTGTGCAAGTTTTTTTTAAAACAAAACAAACAAACAAAAGGGTGTTGCTTGGTTTGCTCGAGGTTTTCGTAAGGGTGCTCCGAAAACTCCCCCAAAAACAAAGGAGCCTGGGCCACCCCGAAAAACGTTGGGGACACCCCAAAGCCAAAAGCAACGAGGCTTTGGGGCCACCCCGAAAGCCAGAGCCAAAACGGCCACTTTGGGACTTGGAACCGGCTCCAGGCCGCGAGGGCCACGGCGAGCTCATCGAGATGTATGGCTTCTGCGTGGCGGAGGCGGGCGCTGAAGCGACGCAAGCGAAGCACGCCGCTTCAGCAGCTCAAAGGGAAGTCATGGGAGCCAAGGACCGGTGAAAAGTCTCCGGATGCCCAGTGGCGCATATCCAATTTTATGATTATTGTCTTTTTTCTCCGTGTGTCTCTTCTTTTTGGGGGGAAGGGTTCTTCCTTTTCTCTCCTTTTCTCCTTTTTTGCAAGGGTTCCGATTCCAGAAGTCGAGCAAAAAAGGATGCCCCTTTTCTTAATTTTTCCCCCATGGCCGCTGGGCAGCCTGGGTACTGTTTGGGCGACGCGTCTTCTGAGTCTCTGAGCTCCGGTCCAATGTGGCCGTCTTGGACGTTTGAAGTAGGTTCCTTGGTAGGTTATACCCATATGGCTGTGGTTGTTAAAACCAATGGTATCCCATTTTGGGGTAGGTGCACCACCCATTTTAGAACCTATGTTGGTGGGGATTTGGATGTTCACTGGTGGTACGGGATTTTGACCCTTGGCCATTTGTGAGTATCGTTTATGTTTGGGGTTCTTTTGTTGTGACACATAAATATTAAGCCGATGCAGAATAATCGCTAGTTCATTTATAGTACGTGCGTATTGCTTGTCGCATGGTTTAATTCAAGCCCAGTTTTTGCAGAAACCTGAAAACAAGGTATCCTTCTGAACTGAACAACAACATGCTTGGTGAATTATAACGACCTCACACGACCGAATTCACCCCAAATGGTTTATGTGGGGAATAGCCCTGCAGCCGCAAGTTTCAGGTTGGTAAAATAATTCACCCAGAACATGCAGTGAAGTTCTCAGAAAGCCTGAGACCTCACGCACGCAAGGTGAACGACAAGCTCCAGCTCATTGATGTGGACGTCTACTACAAGCCGGACTTGTTCATAGAGGCCGGGAGGTGTTGAAATTCGATTGGCTCAGCGCTGGTTTGATTAAACTTAGGTTGCTGATTTTCCCCTGTTGGTTTGAAGGGAATCCATCACTACTGCAGATATTTGTCTCTTTTTTTTTCCGGGGACTTAAGCAAGTGGAAGTATTTGGTTCCATAGCAGAGCCTCAAGGGCTCTTGCACCGCGATTTGGCTGCGGCCACTCCAACAAGTGGAGCAACGGGGTGCTTCAAAAGATGTGATTTGAACAATAATGCTGTGCATGGACAAAATCCATTTCGCACCACTTTGCAGCCATGGGCAAACTTTGTTTGCTGGGATTTACAGGGGAATCGAATCATTCCGTGGGGTTTCTGAGCGGTGTCCTGTGTAAGAAACCCTGAACTCAAACAACCTCGTTTGGGTGTCCTGTGTAAGAAACTGGGGCAACAGGTGTGAGTTTGGGAAACCAAAAGGACCATTTTCCATACGAACCCCACAAGTGAGGAACACTCCTTGCAGAGGGGTCGTTACACAAAAGCGCCATTAGGGTCATAGACACATTGGGGTTGATCAGTATTCCTCTTGTTGCTGTTTTTTTGGCGTGGTTTTCCAACCAATGGTCATGGACCTTTTGCTCAACCCCCACAGAAGGCCTGCAGCAACCACCAGTTCTTGGGTCATACTGTGGATGGACGAAAACCATTTCGCACCACCGCTCAGAAACCCCACGGAATGAGTCGATTCCCCTGTAAATACCAACAAACGATGGTGTCAACCATGGTTGCTTAGGTGGTGCAAAATGGATTTCGTCCATCCAGTAGGCTCAGCAGGCTGGAAGTTTTCGGAGGCCATGCGCGGCAAGAAGCCCGGCAGCTGCTGCCGCAAGGGCGCCGATATCCTGGGCGCAGGCGGGCGGCAAACCCCGCCGGAAGGTTTCTTCGCCCGCCGCTGACCCGCCCGGTTTTCCCCATGAAAACACAGCGACTAGGCCCCCCAGCAGTGCCTTTTACCCAGAGGGTTCCCCTACCAAAATAGACTACAAAAAAAGGAGTACCCTTATTCTAGCCTCTCTACTGGAGGACCTAGACGAAGCCTTTCTGTGGAATTGGGGGAAGAAGTGGACTGCTCAAGCCCCCGGGGTTGATGTGGCCAAGAGTAAGAAGTCTAAAAACAATCAAATTGACAATCCGATTCCCTTCATGTTTGGCGATACTTGGAGCAATTCGGATTCCCTTCACGTCACAGAAAGTGAGAGCCTAAAACCCTGTTGTGGATGGGGCAACATCCTCTTCGCGCAAGTTGGGATAAATTTGCCCATCGGTAGCTTGCCTTTTCAACTTGTCGCCTCGGTTTTCCTTCATTGTCCGTTCCAGCGTCAAGGTGACCTTCTGCAGGGGTCAAAGTTTGGCGAAGCAAATCCCCTTTTGATGGGTTCAAGAAAGACCCCCCAAAAAGGACATGGTTCCAGTTCTTTGCGAGGGTTCAGGACGCTGAGGACCGAGGCGAGAACCTAAGGAATGAGATGTCTCCTCTCATCAATTTGTTTTGTTTGACGCGCGTTTGATCAAGCTCAGCCAGACCAGCGAACGCTAGGATTGTACACCTTGACCGAGGTCGATCGACTTTTACTCTAGGAGTATCCCAAACGGTGGTCTTCTGACCATGCCACACGAGCGTCCCAAACGGAAGTTTTTCTGAACACGTCTTTTTCATATGGTCTTTTTGGCAGTTTCCTGTGTTCTTGAGGCTTATGAACCTGAAAGGCCATGTTGTCAGGCTGGCAGTGTTCATGCCAAGACAAGCATTTTCCCGGACAAACAAGTTGGTCAGGCTGGCGTTGCTCATTCGGGACCCGTTTTTTTAAAGACGAACTGGCCAGCCGGAAAAAAAAAGAGTTCACTGGGTGCTTTTGCGCGTTCCGAGGATGCCCATCACACACACCCCCACCCCAGAAAACAAGAAACATGAAGCACCAAATAGGAATTAACAGTACGGATGCCCCAGAAAAAGAAGAATGAAGCACCTAGCGGGGATGAACAGTACAAAACCGGATGCTTGGCCAAGCCGCAGGATCTTCATTGCCCAGGAATGATTTCTCGAGACAACAGGTGAGAGATGGGGGGCTAACAGGGAGATGTGTTGGATCAAACCTGCGAGGTGGGTCCAATCTGGCTGCAAAAAAGGGCCAGTTTTGCTTCCGGCGGGGTGTTACCCTTTTTTGGGGGAGGGTTCCCCTACTAAACTAGACTGGAGAAAAAAGGGCACCCTTATTCTATCCTCTCTACTGGAGGACGTAGTGGAAGATGGTGAGTTTTGGTGGCCACTTTCTGTGAGTGGAGGGAATCCCCTGTTTCAGGTGGGAATGACCCATATCGCATCACAAGGGTGATTTCTCCACGGCCATGGCTTTCACTGTTCTTGGCATGTGCTTGTTGGTGGCTTCTTTGGTTTCTTAGTGGGGCTGCAATGAACGGCCCGTTCTTTGCGAACATGCCGTTTGGGGTGGGTGGCAATCCAGGTTCAAGCAACAGAGATTGGAGAGAAACCCACTTTTCCATCAAGAGCCAGACACCCACAGCTTCTTCCCCAACAGACGGGAACATACCAGCTTTCCCTCTTTGAAGCGTTCCATGGTTGTGGACAATTGGAGTTTCGGACCACGCCTTTCAGGGGCAAGCTATGAATCAACCACTTTGGTTGCGGCTCATCATTACGGTCTATCGACCAGAATGGTTCTCAGAACCCTTCTAAGTTCTAAGAAGCTTCTTAGAACCTTGCTTGGGGGGCATGACCATGCTGGGCAGGGCTCCTTATCTTCAGCAAATAAATGGGCCAAAGCTCTTGGACAATGGAGGTGGTTTCCAACGAGAATGGGTGAAAGCATGTGGAATTCTCCCTGCACAGATTTCGATTTTCACCCAGGCTTTAACCAGACGAAACACCTGGTTGTACCAACCCTGCGATTGCTTTAGTGGTTTCCTTTTGCTATCCTTTTGGTTTTCCTTTAGCCCCACCTTCAAAAGTTTCAAAAGGCTACCCTCCAAAACAACGACACCTCGCTTCCCTTTCCGTCACTTTTCGGTTTCCTCGAAGGCGCGCCCGAGCACTGCCCCTTCATCGAGAAGATGAAGCGTGTCGGCTTCAAGTCCGCCTGTCCAGTGCGCCGTGCAATGCAGGAGCGCGTCACCTTGTAACGAGATTTCAGGAAATCTCCAGCTGGATGTCCGGTGTCCTCTGTCTGAGCCGAAAAACACAACGCTTCTTGCAAGCTTTCAGTTGGAAGACTGAAGAATGAAAAGGTTGAACCTGCACTTCAGGCGGGTTCGGCTTTTGGCTCAGTCAGTGACTGGGTGGGGTCCCTTTGGTTGCCTTCAATTTCAACAAAGGGGCACCAGAGCCCCAAACAGAAGCATCCAGAGAGGTTCCCTGGTAAGAGTTGGTTCCTCGAAACCAGCAGATTCCACATGTCACAGGGTACCAGGCAAGCAAGCGATGGGTTTCATGTGACTCCACCCATTTTTCCGGGACGCGTTTCACCGCCTTCTGCGCGGCGTTCTGCGCAGCGGCCAACTCCCCCGCAGCTTTTCCCGCCGACTTTTGCGGCGGAGCGCGGTAGAGGGTAACCTGAAACCGAGCGCGCCGGGCTTTCGCTGTCCTCAGGCCGGCCTGAACGCGGGAAGCGAGGGAACTAGGGCCAAAATGATTGGACATGGCTTGTGGGGTACTTTCGAGCCAAATTAAGTCATGGTTTGTTATGTTAGCCGCTGGCCCCTTGTATCAGTGATCGCAATCAGTTCCTTCGATGGGGTAAACGGTTCCATGTAGCTCATGAAGGTAGAGTAATTTGCCCAGATCTCTTCCGGGTTTGAAGGGTTCGGCTATGGGTCAAAATCCAACCAGGATACGGCCGCAGGGTTTGGTCCATGTTTCGACTAGGGATGCATTTGGGAGTTACCCTTTGACCCATAGTCATATGTTGGTCAGAATTTTAGCAGACAGGTCAGGCTTTGGATGGCGGAGGCTTGAGCCGAAAGGGCATTGACAATGTCGAAACTGAAAACGACTCGTGGCTGTTGCTCGGCGTGCGCCAATAGCTTTGTCAATGCCCAATGTTAGAGGATATTTTCTTAACTCAATGTCAGTACTCCCGCACATGTGTACGGAGGTTCCAAATGAGCAGTGCCCAAAACCGATTCCCATTCGCCATGGCTTACTGGCCTATATAATCCTTTAAAGCCATTCTTGGTGGGACCAAGGGTCAACGGGTGTTGGGTGCGGCTCGAAAAGCGAGCAGTTCCTTCTTGTGGGAATCTTGATGATTCCGGTGCAAATTTGTAGAGTCACGGCCTATGAGGCCTTGCCGTCAGGCTGGGCGGATTCAGAGCTGGGTCACCAGCAGGAGTTTGTGCATTACGACCGAATCGCGAGGCATATGGCTATGAATGTCGGGAACACACTTCCAAATGGGCGGACAGAATTTTGGTCAGCTGCTCATACTTGCACTCTCTCTCCTTCTTTTTTTCTCTCTCCCTCTCTTCTGGTCATGGACCAAAGGCGGCATTTGCCAATTGCGGACCTGAAACCCATGCGGCCCCAAGGGCTGAGGTACCGCTCCTCCAGCCGCGAAAAGTGCGTCGCAAGGGAGCAGGGACGCCTAGGCCCTTCGTCTCGCTTGGGCAGGTGGCTTGACGACAGGTAAACTTGCTGAAATTTGGAGGAGATAGACTTGGTAACCCCCTCCAAATATATACATGTGTGAACATGTAGCTTTTTGTATCCACCCCTTCCCCTTCAAGGGTAGGCCCCTCCCCCACATCATTTGCATCAACCGGGATGATGCTGGCATTGCTGGGGATGCTGTCCCACCCTGAGACCCTAAACCAACTCCCCCAAACCAACCCTAAACCAACCCTCAACCAACCCCAACTAACCCTAAGCCAAGCCTAAACCAGCCCTGTACAAATCTTAAACCAACCCTAAACCAACCCTAAACCCCCACAAGGCCGACCCTTGGCCGGAACATAATATATGCATATACATATATATATATATATTATACTCAGTTGTCCAAAGCCGACCTTTTGACCTTTTGGTTTTCCTATTTTGGTCCATTTTAGTAGAGGTGCCAAAAGGTTAGCCTTTTAGTTTTGGGTCCTTTGGGCAACTGAGTATATATATATATATATATGACTCTGGCTCTGTCTCTCTCTCTCTCTTTTTCTCGCTCTCTGTCTCTCTCTCTCTCTCTCTCTCTCTCTCTCCCTCTCTCTCTCTCTCTCTCTCTCCCGCTCTCTCCCTGTCTCAGAGGATAACCCCCCCCCCTTAGCCCCCCCCCCCTTACCCCCCCCCCCGCCCGACGTCTAATACGTAGGTTTTAGGGGGGGTCCCCCACGTATGGCAATTTGATGACGCTCCACTAAACGTCTTCGGGCAGCGGGTCTGGAGAAACAGGGGTACCAGGAACTGACGGAAAATGAAGCGGACATACCGAGAAAATGTCAGGGACATGAAGGGGGAGTTGAAAGGAATGGAAGGGACATGACCAGCACATCATCGGAAACGTGAAAAGGACATGAAGGGGAAGTCAAGGGGAAAGCCAGTAGTGAGATGACAGGTCATGAAGGGGAAGTGGAGCTCTAGTAATATTTCCCAACTCGCCACCCACGGGGAAAACCAGAAGCTCACCTTTCGGCCAATGTGTGATTTTTGACACCACCCTACACGGGAAGCATAACTGGCCCCGGCTTTTGTGCAGCCAAAGAGCCTTGTTGCCAAAACATTGCGACGACCTCCCTCATATAGAGTTGGGGAGTTCCTGATATACATACATATATATATATATCTATTTCTATTTATTTATTTATTTATTTATTTATTTATTTATTTATTTATTTATTTATATTACAGGTCGCACCAAACCATGGTCCATGAAAGGGCTACCATATATATATAATATGTATATATACGTGTCTATTTATTCATTCATATTTGGAGCGGTTCCGTCGTTTCCAGCGAGCCCCGTGTGGTTCTTCCCCCGGAACCTCCGAGGTTCTTCCTCTGCGACTCCTGCCGCCTGTGCCCGGAGCTGGGTGAGGTCTCGGAGGCCACGAGGCGGGAGGAAGCGTGAGGTTCGTGGTCCTGTGCCAGGTGACTTTCGCAGCACGTGGAATGCAGTTTGTAGCTGTATTGATAGGGGTTTATCGATCCCGCCTGACGTCGAGGTCCGCTGCTGTTACCCGCTGTAGAGGTAACGATGGAGCGATCATATATGGGTATGGGCCAAGATTACACCAGGAGTTGGACCGCAGGTTTCCACTTAGGTTCCATTTGAAATACCTATTTTTGATCCACCCACCAGGTCCAGGTGACAATCAAAACGCGGGGATTGATGAAGGTTTTGTTTGGGGGCAATCCCAGCCAGAAATGGCTGCGGATCTCCGCCTAAAGCATGGTTCTGGGCTCACCATTTCTGTACCGGGTTTTGATTGTGACTCAGGTGGGGTTTAGTTTGTAAGGCGTCTTTTTTGGTGCCCCTTGTGGAAACCAACAGCAAACCACCCACAAAAAGGTCCCTTAGTTGGAGTCACGATGCAAATATGGTGGATGGTCGCAACAATGGTTTCTTAGGTGGTGCAGGAGTTCGTCCATCCACAGTATGGTTGTCAAGGGCCCCCCGGCCTATTAGGGAGCCTTCCGTTTTCAGGCTGGTTAAGGGAAATCAAAGAGAAAACATGTTTTTTCTCTGGGGGGGGCTATTTTGGTTGGATGGCTTGGTAGATCGGGACGTTTTTTGCTTTTCCCAAACCTCCTATCAACACCTTTATGGGGTTCTTACGGTAAGAGTAAAGGGCCGGTGTTAGATCGGAGTTGGCAACCCACCGTTTTCTTTTTTGGTGTACCTTTTGTTTTTTGTTTTTAGGGAAGCCAGAAGGAAGCTTTTATTTAGAGTTGGTACCCCTTGCATTTTAAATGTTCTGGGTAAACCGCCCGAAAATACAGTTAGTTTGTTTTTAAGGGAAGCCAGATGGTTTCTTGGAGTTGGTTCCCCTTGTTTGGTTATGTATGTATGTATGTATGTATGTATGTATGTATGTATGTATGTATGTATGTAATGTATGTATGTATGTATGTAATGTAATGTAATGTAATGTAATGTAATGTAATGTAATGTAATGTAATGTAATGTAATGTAATGTAATGTGTAATGTAATGTAATGTAATGTAATGTAATGTAATGTAATGTAATGTAATGTAATGTAATGTAATGTAATGTAATGTAATGTAATGTATATATGTATGTATGTATTTATGTGTGTATGTATGTAAGTAAGTACGTATGTATGTATGCATGCATGTATGTATGTATGTATGTATGCATGTATGTATGTATGTATGTATGTATGTATGTAACGTATGTATATATGTATGTGTGTTTGTATGTAATGTAATGTAATGTAATGTAATGTAATGTACTGTAATGCAGTGTAATGTGATGTAATGTAATGTATGCATGTACGTACGTATGTATGTATGCTGTTCAAAACTAATCTCCTTTTTCGATTTTTGTCTGAAGTATTCGTTCAGTATTGGCTGGAGCCCAAGTTTTAGCTTCATGCGTGCGTGCGTTCGTGTGCGTGCGCGTGCCCCTGCGACTGTACTTGTGCGCGCGCGTGCGTGCGTGAATGTGTGTTCTTTGCAGTATTGGTACAGTGGTGCCTGGAGACCAAGTTCTAGCACGTGTTTTCGCTGCACCCCCGAAAGTGAACCTCGTGAAACTGCCCAACTGCCCGCAAACCCCCCGACACGGCCACCCGGCCACTGCCGCCCGGCCACCCGGCCACTGCCACCCGGCCACGCCCACCCTGCCGCCACGGCAACCCAGCAACCGCCACGGCCACGGGCGCCCGCTCCCCCCGCCCCACAGCTCACGGTCACGGCCACCCGCCACGGCCACAACCACGACCACGGCCACGCAACAACCGCCATGGCCACGGCCAAGGCCACCCGGCACGGCCATGGACGCCCAGCAACCGCCACGGCCACGGCCACGGCCGCGGCCACCCGGCACGGCCACCCAGCAACCGCCACGGCCACGGCCACGGCCACGGCCACGGCCACGCAGCAACCGCCATGGCCATAGCCACGCCACGGCCACGGCACGGCCACCCGACAACCGCCACGCCCATGGCCAAGGCCACCCGGCACGGCCGTGGCCACAGCAACCGCCACGGCCCACGGCCTCGCAACCGCCGCGGCCAC